GGAAGATCCCCACCTCTGCAAGAAAACCGAGGATAAAACCAGCACTGGACGCTCCAAAACCTGATACTCGGTAATAGCTGGGATTGCGTTTTCGGACATCGGGTCACACGCTCGGATTTCCAGCAATCATCTGTCCAATACTTTCACATCTGTGAGCGGTCCAAACGCAAAATGAGAGTGTAGTACCTTCAACAGGGGAGCTGAAATGAAGCCTTTGGAGCGTCAATCACTAGAGCGATGTATTTCCAGATCCAAGCCTTTACCTACACTCCCTGGAATGTAGCTTTGGTAAGATGTCTTTGCCTAGGACAGAAGGTACTCACGCTGTTGTCCTCTGAGCTCTGGATCTTGACAGTGCTTTCGCAAGAATCATGAAACCGCTCACATCTTTATCGTGACGATGAACCTATATTGTTAGCCGAGATGATTGCACGGTTCATAGCAGAAGCGAATAGTGTTACCAGTCTTGGAGGCTCTTTGTATTCGAACTGAAGAGCCAAACTCATCATGGAGACTAGACTCCTCTCAAACTTTACTTTCACCTTGAAAAGAAAACACGATGGATCATTTATTATAAAGCATAGACAATAGTACCTAGACCGTGGCTTGTTGAGAACTATCAGAGCTGGGGAATGGCATTGCATTGTGGGCATTTCTCACAAGACCTTGAGGAACCAAATTAAACCCTAGACCTTCCTCTCAAAGCAGGAAATATTTTCTGGAAATCAAAAGAAATCGGAGTGATAATGAATCAGGGATCATAAAGAATCATAACAATGTCTCTTAATCAAGGATGAATCGAGAGACAATGATGAGTATGACAAGTGTGCTAAGTGCAACGACAACAATTAAGAGCAGCACATTGACTAAGCCACATTAGTGGGGCCATCATACTTGGCATCGCCTCCAGCCAGCTCCCTTGTCACCCTATTGGTGCTTAGGCATGATTCAATGTCACTAACTTTGGAGTGGATACTTTGCTCAAGTCTTTTTTTATGTGCTTGTGCACTAAATTACATAAGAAATATAAATGATCAAACAAGAACAAAAGGAAGATCAACTTGTTATGACCACCTTCCACTCTATTTGGTGAAATGCTTCACATCACTCTTGCATAATTGAAATTTTGTGGAGATTCTTTATGGGGTCTTCATTTTCCCTTTTTTGTCATTTGAAATTGCAACTGTTGACAACACCAAATTTTTGTCTAAAAAATCCACAAATGCTAAAATAACAAACTTGTCAAAAACATGTGAAGAGAGTGAAAAAGGAAGAGAAGCTCAAGAAAGGGCATCAACATCAACCATAGAACTACTCAAGTGATGAACAACATCAAAATCATATATTTAAAATTTTAAAGCCTATTGTGCAATACAACTAACTAAGTTTTTCTAATTCAATAATAAAGTAACTGTAGTATAATCATCTTTTAGTAATATTCAAGAATTATGTAGATATACATGAAATTTCTCAAAACCCCAAACTACGCTGAACACTCTTTCTCTCCACTCCACTAGTTGTAATATATAATTGATATATGCAATAGAATAGTGTTGATTAGGCACACTTAGGCTCTT